GTGGCTGAAAACACTGTTCATTCAACTGTTAGCTTTTCTCCTAAGCCTCCTAGCCTAGTGATCACATACCAATGAAAGGATTTCTGTATCAATGATGAAAAAAACTGGTGTGACTCTACCTGCTTAAGAGGTACTTCTCATGCTTCTTTAGTCCCCACATTGCCACTCAAGTCCAGGAGGACTTAGCACTTATTTCTTTTTAGTCTGTGTTTGGCCATTGTGATGTTGCAGTCTAAGCCAATTAAAAACAGCAGCATATTAGCCTTAATGTTTCTGCCATGCCTGAGCAGACATTTTTAATAGTCAAACTGTGTTACTATGGCATTCTTGTTAGTTTCTTTTGGTTTTATTCAGCATCAGGATATTTCTGGAAAAATGAATGACTTCTCTTTGTAATTAGTGATGAGTTCTTGTCTTAGTTCCTATTAATGTCTTTAATGAATACTAAATACTTTCTGATAATGAAAGAAGGACAAGAGAAAGATGAAAAAGGAAGAGAAGAGAGGGAAGAGTAAGAAACTGATAGGGTTTTTTTACAGGATTGTTTTTTCTTATTTAAAGCTGTTCTATCTCAACTCTATATAGGCAAAAGTAGATTTTTAAATGTTTACATATATGTAATATATAATGTATATTATAAAATATAATATAATCGTATACATATTAATTGTATGAGCACTTAGCAAGGGAAAAAGGAAACTATTCTCCTATTTAACTAATACTAATACTCCTGTAACTGATACTACTTCAACTGAATTAATTGAAACTTCCAGACTAGGGGGTGTCATGTCCTGTGTGGATAATGGAAGAACAAAAAGTTTGAGTAAAGATTGATTAGCTGAAGTTACAAATCTTGTATATGTTTTAAATATTACCTTTTGTTTGTTCCTGAATGTTTTAGCAAATCTAAAATTTAAGCAGCTCTACAGTATGGTGCTACAGAAAATTTCAGATGACCTGATTGTATAGCAGCTTCGAAGGACTTCAGTGGCACATCAGTGACTGATTCTCTAACACTTTTAGTCCTGTAGACATAAGGTCCATAACTTCCATTTGTTTGAAGAAATAATCATTCTAAATGTTCATTATCAAGTGTCTAAACATTGGTCTAATTCTAGAGGCATCTGAAGTTTAACGTCTTTGTCAGAAAAAAATCCTAATTACCCCATTAATCTGGCAAAATCATGATTTATCCAGCTAGTTTAACGAAGGGAGCTATGCTTTTTTCCACAGAGTGTAGACAGCTTGTCATTCAGCAAAGCTGTAGTTTCAGTTAAAATATGGAAAGAAAAGACTGTAACTCTAGTTTTATCAGAAGCGATTTAAAAAGTGTAAGTAAGCTTCATTT